CCTTGAAGTGTTAAGAAAACGATTTTTGTTATTCAGCAAATACAAATGAAATTCTGTCGTAATGTGCTGAGTGCAGAAATTTGCAGTTTGTATCTGTTCCAACATCAAATGATCTATAGCTAATGGAAACAATTCCGTTAAAGTAAAGTTCTTAATATTTTGTCTTCAACAAGAATGTCGCTGACGCGCGCTCCATTTCCTGCAAACATTTTCCTTTCTTAGCACCGGTGCTAATGAAGGAATGTACTTGGCGAATGCGAAGAATGAGTTATCATCCTCTGTCATTATAACGTAAATTACAGGTTATATGGACTCCAGGACACACGCCAGACAGTCTTGTGTTGTGGTACGAGAGCGATAAAAGACTATTCATTGGGGACTTGTTCTACCGATACGGTGATATAATGCTAACGTAAGAGTTCTCATAAATCCTGGAATCCATGTAGTTAAATGGAACTATTAAGATATGAATACACGAACATAAAAAACTACGAGGCATCCTTGAGAAAAGTGATCGATTTTGTTATGAAACAACCGGAACCAAAAAAGGTAACGTATTTGTTTTTTTAAGACTTTCCTGCTGAAATTAGTAGGAAATTGGATGCAGGCAATGTTGAAGTAGTGAAGAAAAGGATTAACTGTTTTGTGTCGCGTTACTGTTATTGCACTTCATCTTCTTCGCTCCAAGTACAACTAACTTTTCGAAAATTACTCTTTCCATACGATGAAATGTCATTTTTATATACAAGCAATTCAGTTGCGTTACTCAGCAGCCAAAAACGATGCCGACAATGAGTGTTTGCCCACCTTCAAACATTTCCATCACTTTATATTGACGGTGTTTGCAGGAACCCATATTGGCTACCCACTTAGGTAAATGTTTCATCTTCTGTCAGTGTTATTTCCAACTTCACAATGTAGAATTGACGAAGCCGAAGGCTGGCGCTTCGAGACAAGGGACAAAGCAATGAAAATCATTCTTGGCAGAGATATTGTGACACGATTAAATCAAGCTCGGGAGAAAGCTCAACACTACAGATAATCATAGAAGGCGAAAATTGTACGTTGCAAATCCCAATAAAGATTTTTTAAAAATGAAGCTTGTTTAAAAAGTGAATAATTTCAACAGTCCAACTTGTCGGAGTCATAATAGCGTCTGTGCAGCGTCAAACATTCCGTAGCCTCAACAGCATTAAGTAAGTTGGCGAAGGTGCGAAGGAGTTCAAACAATTGCAGAAGACCTCCGATCATTTTTAGTCCAGATGTAACTAAAGTTACGTTTTCAATTTGATCAGCCAATGTCATATAAAACAATGCAAAGTTTCAGAACTTACTGCAACAGTGTATGGAAGTTATCCCTAGAGAATGGTTCAACCTATTTACACCGATTTTTGACCTGGTTTTCTCTTTGCGCCACTTTCTTCTTTGCGTTAGTTAACATTATTTTTTCTCAGACAAACGATCAGTAACCATTAAGTGACTGAATTTTTTTCCATTTAGGTTAATTTTAATACTACGATGTCTTCCAACCCATTTAAGAACCATAGCAGACTTTGTTTCTGGCGCAGGGGGCTAGCGGTTTTTCGGGATGAGTTGTTTAGTTTGAAGCG